AATACTTGTTATAAGCATATGAGGGCACATGCTCAGAAGTGCATATCAAGGTGCTAATGCGAATGTGTAACTGCAGGGAATGTAAAAATATGCAAGAATATGACATTCAATGAAGTGAATCAATCAATATAATAATGCCAAAGATAACCAATTGATCGAGTCGATGGAAGAGGTTGATTGACTGATCAGGCTGATGGAAGTTGATCAATCATGTTGATGGAAATGGTCAATCGAGCTAGTGACAACTAATTATTTGAACAGATGAGAAGGGTTGATCATCGATTTTGTCAGTGGTGGCCGATCAATTGAACCAATGAAAATTATCGATCGAGCCGATCGGGCCAGTGGCAGCCGATCGATCAAATCAAAGAAGCTGGTTGATCAAGATGATTAGGCTTGTGGAATGGAGATGTTCTACCAAGAAGATTGAGTTGATGGTAGTTGATCAATCAAATCGATGAAAATGGTCGATTGAGATGATTAGACCCTTGGTGTTCGATCGATAAAGTGGATATAAATAACCAATAGAGATGTGTTGGCATCAATTTTTGTTGCCACATATATGAGTTTTCTATTTTAAACGATATGAGATTATGTTCAACCTCCCATCATCCAAGATACCGGTACGTGCCCTGAGAATGAAATCAAGACTGATACTACTCCTGCCTAGAAAAGTTCATTGTAAGGTGGTGTGAGCTTTATAATGGATGTGTTTTATGTTAATTCTAATGTTGAGAGACACAACTCCATCAATTTAGTGTCTTCTGAGGCCAAGGGTAATCCTAGATATCCCCACACGTATTTTTGAAAAGATTCATGTGTGAAGCAATTTTACCCTCTCACGGGTTCGGGACACCCATCGACACCAAACTCCCCAATTTGAAACCTATAAAATGTTTATTTTTGATTTATGGGCCCTTATTCTAAAGATATGCAATTTTTCATACCTTCTGGATCGACGAGGACCTTCCTACGGTAGTCCAGAAAAAGTTAGGGTTTCTAACACCCTACCCTCATTGTGGTCCGGAACAACCATTAGCAATAATTTTGTCAATGAATGGCTGCTCAAAATACTCATTTTTTATGAAGGTATGTGACCATATTTTAGTCATACATAATCTCCCATAGCATAGGAATCAAAGAAAGCCTCCATCAGACTATCTACACAAAAATTAGGGTTTTCAGCCCAAATTGACATCTAAGCACTAGTCTCAAGCTCTTAGGTACCCAAAAACTCATTCCAGAGCATTTTCTAGAGCCTTGGGAAAGTAGGCACCAACCTACTAGTGCCTAGGTGCTAGTACCTAGGTGCTAGTACTAGGAATCTAGGTGCCTAAAATCCAACAAAAACAGTTTTTTCTTGTGAAACAGGAAAACACCGCAACCCTTCAGGTGTCTAGGCGCCAGACTTGGCACCTAGGTGCCAGGGTTTCTGACTCTGGTGTTCCAAACTGGGTGCCTAGGTGCTCGGTTTATAGCGCCTAGGCTCCAGGGTCAAGATGCCTAGGCACCAGTCTAGTTTCTGGATGTAAAAATTCAAAATTTTGGAGTCATTTTGACACAGACACATTCCCTCATGCAACCAAAATTTGGGATTTCATTGGCTAATGGGAAGATTGCATGAGAGAGAGGCAAAAAGGGGGCTCATAATGCCACTTTTTGATAGATTTTATAATTTTCCTAAGGTTTAATCAAGCTTTTCATGGAAAAATCTGAGGGAAGGTTGGATGGCTTGGGTTTAAGCTTCGCTAGCACTTTTTCTTCTATTATCTAATCTTTTTCTTATTCTCTCAGACCTAAGGGTTATTGCTTGGAGAAAGAGAGGAGAGCTTTAAGTTTCTTTGGGAGAGAGTTTCTTGGAGCAAGAAGTTGAGTAAGGCCCTTCATCTTCCTCAAGTAGAAAGCTCTTTTGGAGAGACTTTTGCTCCAAACTTCTCCATTTTTTTCATCTTGTTCCAAATTTCTTCATACCTTCTTCAAATCCACTGCAATTTCTTCTTCTTCCACTCATTTTTCTTGAGCATGAGAGTGTAAGTGAGGGGATTCCTTGAAGGAGAAGCTACATAAAGGTGAGACATTCTCTCCTTGTGGAAGAAGAGCTTCATACCACCTTGGGGAAGGCTAAACTCTGGCAAATTCTTCAGTCTTTTTTGCTTGGAGAGGTTCTTCCATACTTTAGAGAAGGAGTGTGGAGTGTGGGGCTTCATTATCTCTTCTACAGTAAGGAGAGCTTCATCCGAGACAAACCAAGACTTCAATTACTCATTGCGTATGTGAAACCTCTTTAAACCTTGTTCTTTATTTTCCTAGCTAGTCCTAGGTTTATGTAGAGAATGTTGGGGCTAGGTTGTTGTTTTCCTAGAGAAGCCCACTAGGATAGAAAGCTTTCATTGGACAAAGTCTCCTACGAATCTGAGTGATATCCTTGCAAAAGCCTTAGCCCGAACCCAAACCGGCCAGAATCTGTATTTCCTCTGGCTTTGGTGGTTCCAACCTTCCTTGGAGGGGTTGGAACATTTGGATTTTTTGAAATGGAAAAAGCTTTGTAGCTATTCAATTTCACAAAATCTTGGAGGATCGTGGAGTGGGAAATGTTTTGTAGCTAGCCCATTGTATAAAATCATGGAGAGTTTTCCCTTTGAGAAATCAGAGAGCAAAATTCCCCATATTCATCACCGAAGCTAGAGGAGGCTATGCCAAACATCCATACGCTAAAATCTAGGTTCTTGTGCAAGTGTGCTAGGTTAGAAATGACTTGCTATTGAGCATTAACATGTGTATTACATCACATGTTATGTCATGTTGTATGTTCCACATTGACTTGACTGGCTGTCCCGACCTGATCAACTTAGCATTTTAGTCTAACCGATCGCCCTAGCCTGGTGGACTGATCACATAGGTCCAACCGGGCGTCCCAGTCAAGTTGATCAACCACTTAGGTCTGATCGGTTGGCCATATCTAGCCGACCGATTACTTAGGTCTAATTGGTTACTTGGAATTGTCAAATGACCACCTAGGTCCGACCGGTCGCCTCGACCTAGCCGATCGATCGGCCAACCCAGCTCGGTCGACTGACCACCTAAGTTAAACTGTAATAGCCTCTTACATTCATCATAGGAAAAACAAACATCCATGTTAAACCTTCACAAACACAAATAACACAAGGAAGACAAAGCCAAAAATCGGGAGAAAATCAATAAATCACGAATGCATTCTTTTTTGGTAGATCCTTGCAGCCTCGGTGGTGATCAATAATCTACAAATAACTCACCACATTTCTTCTAATAGTTGGATGCAGTTCCACTAGATCAGTAACTCTCGAATGCAAGTTCAGTTGGAAGAGCATCGAGAATCGAAAAATGTTGGCTGGATGGGCTCCTACTTCGACAGTGCTCAATGGAGGTGCTATGTCGTCGGTTGCTTTGTCGACAGTCATTCGACAGAAGCTCGGGGCATGTGCTTCAAATACCTTGTGAAAGGGCTTAAAATACCTTGGATTTTCGGTGTTTGTTTTCGGTGTTTCACGGAGATCCTTCTACGTCGGTTGCTTTGCCGGCGGTGCTTTGACGGAAGGTTGGGGCAATTAGAAAATTTGGGTGTTCAATTAAAATGAAATCGCAATCTTAAAGAACTAATTTTGTTTAGGTGGATTCACTTGAACGAGAAATCAACAGGTGACCTGACCATTTAATTTAATTCCTCAAGATAAATTTAAGTTATTGAATTTAAAAAATTATATTTTAAAACAATAACTTTTTTTTTAATTTTGACTTTACATATTTATCACACAATTTTTCTGTATTTATATAACTAAAACCTAAATTTTGTTTTCTTGCATATTTGCAAATCAAACTTTTTATATTATATTTAATATTTCTTTGGGTTTGTTTTAGAAAATTTTAATATTTTTTTACATCTCCATTTTTATGGAAAATAAATTTTAATTATAATTGTAATCAAATTTTAACATATTATATTATTTAGAAAATTATCATTTTTTAAATTCAATTTTATCTAATTTTTTCCTAGAGTGAAAAAAATTATTTTTTTAAAAAATATTAATTTAAATTAAAAATATATATATAAACTATTAAGAAAAAATTAATTACATAATATAAATTTTAAGAAAGAAAATTAATGAATCCAAATATGTCTTGTGGTTCACATCCAAGAAATAGAGTGTTGGATGGACGAGAGAAATAAAGAGAGAGATCGAGAGAGGAAACATAGTGCACAACAACACTAGTTTTGAGGGAGTAAATTTAATAGTGTTTTATTGTAGAGATGATCCATATTTGTAGGTCCATAGACATCTAGTAAAGTAACACATTCGTCCCCATTTTAATAGGGACCATATAAATCATTATTACATTTTTTCATATTTATAACCAACTCTGAAACTTTTTTAGATTCATAACTGACATTGACAGTGTTTCAAATCCATAACAACTTGAAGAGAGACATTTAATGACCGGTTACTTTTCAATGGAATCTAGAGTAGTCACCCTCATGTTGTTAAGGTGAACTTAGGCCATCAAACTGATGGTTTATCACGATAATCTGATGGGTAGCTCTTCTTTGACAAGTAGTCTTTTCAGAGAATCGAAAAAGGTATTCTGTAAGGTACACTTTTGTCATCTTTGTGAGAAATTCCAAAATTAGTTGAGGTAACTGGTCATGAACGACTGTGTCTCTGATAGTGTTTTTTTCTTATTCATTCGCCTGTACTTCCGTTCGATCGACTCATAATTCCAATCGAAGGAAACTACGATTGCAATTTTCATCTTTTGATTATCCCGATAGACTGTCATTTGATATTTAAGTGAGACATATTAGATTTTCTTGAGATTCATGTGATTATAATTTTGTTGTAAAATTTTATTTATATTTTTATTAGTATAAAAATTTGTGCCTCCCCCTCTAAAAATTTTTAATCCCTCAAGAATTTTAACTTCTTACTAAGCAATAAACATTAAAATTTAGGTCTTGATCTCTTGGATTCGTAAGACATACGAACTGAGTGGTATGTGTGTTAATCTTACTATTAATAAATAATAAAATTTGAGGACATCGAGTCTTGGAGATGAGGAACGCCGCAGGCCGCTAGCTATGTACGGAATGTCGGAGACCGTCGACGCCACCGCTCCCGTCGAGGTCGACGCTGAGAGGACCGCTTTTCGAAGGACTGAGAAGTTATACAAGCTTTACAAAACTGAAGCTCCCAAACGTCGGTTTGTCTCCATTTTAAATCCCTGACTCTTTTGTATTCCCCATCGTTTTGCAAGCTCCGGTGGATTTTTATGTTAACTGCTATTCTTCCCCAATCAGAAAAAACCTGGCACATAGGAAGACGGATCTCTCTGGTGTTGTTGATTTCCATTCCGTTCTCAAATCATTCAGACAAGATGGCGCAACTCCTGCTGGGATCTTCAAGTACGAGTGCAAGGGTTTCAGACTACCAGTTTTCTGTTTCGAAAAACGCCCAGGTATGAATTAAGTTTTCGTCTCTTATTAGAGCGATATATTTCTTTTTTATCATTCACATATTATTTTGGGCCTGTTAGATCTGTATTTGATAAATGCCATTTAAATAGATTTATATTCTGATGCAGAACTGTTTGAATGCCCAATTTTTATATCCAAACAAATCTAAACTGTCTGGTTTTAATTTGGTAGATTTGTCGGATTAAAAAAGATTTAGTAAATCCCATTGAATAAATTTTTTTAAATCCCAGTTTTACCAGTATTTGAATTAAAATTTATATCCTGCAGGATTTTAGATCTAATTTAGTGGTTGTTTGGTGACAAGTAGTATTTATTGCGATTTTAGATTCTGACAATTGTCTCACATTATAGATGTTAAATACGGTTAAGTGCTAGTAAATTATTCGATATATATTTTCCGAATTTAAGATTTAAAGGAAGAAGAAGAAGAAGATACACAATGAGGATAATAGTAAATCTATTTGATCTTCTCTAGGATTTACTAAGGGTTTGTTTGGCGCAGCTGCAACTTCTCAACTTTTCAACTGCAGCTGCACTGCCCCAAAAAGCTGCTGCGGGGAAGCTACTGCCTGTTGTTGCAGTGTGTAAAAATAGCTGTGAGACATCTGTTTCTGGAAAAATGATCAGTTTGTTCCTGTTTAGTAATTTTTTTTTGTAACAGAAATGTGACACCAATATATTTGATATTTCACAAGCAAAAATTCATTTCAAAACACAACAAAAGTTTTGATATACTACTCACTTAACAGTGAGTATCAAAAATGCTAGGAAAAAGAAACATAAAAAAAACTCCCATGTGATTTTCGGTTTTATGAAGTAATGCTAACAAAATTTTGACAAGATTTGGGGAAAGTAAAATTGGACTAGAGGAAACCTAATCACCTGCGGGAATCAAATAAACATCCTATGGCAAATTTCACAAACCATAAGTTGACCATAAGTTGGAATCAAATTCAAATTATTTTTTCTGAACATAAACATCACCCTAAACACTTAACCTAAAGCTTCATACTCTGGATGATTTAAAACATAAATCCAAAGTAACCACACATGATTCAAGGAGGAGATGAAGGTTTAGGTTTACTCGATGGAGGCCCTCTTACAAGCTGTGATCCTGTCATTACCTACTAGTAAAGCTTCGTTCTGCTAATTGAATCGTTGAACAACAAGAATTCACTGAAACCTACCTCACAAATCCCTTAATTCAATAAAATCCATTGAACTCACGCGGTCATTACCAATGCATACATGAAAAACACAGAAAACTCATTTGCACCTACTAACCACATCTACAACTCAACCATTAACTTCTATTAGCACCCACACTGCAAATATAAAAATCAAGAAAACGCATTTGCATTTTTTAGTTTAAAGCAATCAACGTAGCCCTTAAATGCAATATATACCAATTCCAACCAACTTAATATAAGGGCCGGTGAAGAGTATGCCCATCTCAAACATATATTCGTTCTACTTAGCATCATGCTCAAGTCAAAAAAATATGCAGAACAGAGAGGCATATAATCCAAATATACCAACCCCATGATGCTCACGGCTTAAAGAATATTTATATGCCCATCTCAAACATATATTATTATTATACATTACATCTCTCATGAACCATGCAAACATGCATTAATCATTGGAAGATTTACATACATACCACTCAATTCATATATACCATGTTTAGTGTCTGCATTGAAAAGTTAGAAAAAAATATTATGTTAAAAGGTCCATGCCTGGATTGGAAGGAGAAGTCTAATGAGCATTTAGCAGATTCAACTAAAAGAGGAAGTAGATGAGGATTAGCATAAGAAAAACCCATAACACCACAACAAAGATAGAGTTTCATTATAGACATATAGGCAGCTAACTGCAACTACTCAAATAGCTGCAATTTTCCCATATGCCGAAAAAATACAGCTAACATAATCTCCATAACACAACAGGAAGCATGAAGTTTCAGTACAGATTAATAGAGAGC